AGGGCTTATTTTTACGTTTTCCCAGCAGGTTCACTGGTGTTTTTAGGGCAGTGCTTGGAGGCCACCTGGAGTGTCACCCGCAGGCTTGGGGTCCCGGATGGGACCGCGGGGCACCAGCTGTGGCACTTTAGGCAAAAGGTGGGAATAAAATTCAGCCGAGCGTGGCCACAGCTCTGACCCTGCCCGGCTCCGTCAGCGCGGGTCACCGAGCAGTGACGGCTCCTGCCCATCCCGGCTCCGGGTCCAGGCAGGTCTCTCCTGCCCAACCCCCTCCTTGTTTCCCCCTGGCACCACCGCAGGGACAGCCTGGGCCACATCCTGACCCCCCTCCAGCCATCCCCCCTGGCTTCGCCAGGCACAGAGAGCTTGTGGCTTCCTCTCAGCTCTTTAGGAAATTAAACTTTTATAAGCAGAAAGGTTTCTGGGCTCTCGGCTCCCCGGTGCAGGAACCGCAGCCCAGGCTGTGCCCCCACCCTGCCCGCCGGCTGCTCCCCTGCAGGGGGGGACAGGGGCTGGACACCCCATCCATGGGCTGTGTGATGGCGGGGACGTGGCTGCCCATGACCTTGGTGTCATCCTTGACCTGGAAATCTCCTTCTCCTGCATAGCCAGGGCTGCACTCCTGCCTGCGGCCACCTCCGGCGGGATGCACGGCACAGGACCAGCCCCTCCACCACCCTCGCCCAGGCTGGAGCTGGACCCCACACTGTCACCCACCACCACACCACCGATGATGCCCAAAATCTGCCCCAAATCCCACCCGGGGCTGCCCGGTGCCTCCGTGGCTGGAGCTCACCTGGTGCAGGAGACCCAAAATACCCTCTGGGCATTGCAGCACTGCCCCAGCCATGCCACCCCTCGTCCTGCCACAAACACCTTTGGTCCCATGTGGCACCACACAAAAGCTGTCCCCCCATGAGCAGACACACGGAGCTCCTTCCTCTGGGGACACCACCAGCAGCTCCCCCAAGCCTTGCCACGTCCCCCAAACCCAACCCCGGTCCCCTGGCAGCAGGATGAGGAAGGCGGTGGCAGTGCCACCATCAGCCTGCGCCACCTCCCACCAGCACAGCCTCCAGCTGCCACATCCCCTCCACAAAGACAACACCCCCGAGGGGTTTGGCCCCGACCCCACACGTCCCGTTGGCAGCTCTCCCCATCTCCCCTCGTCCCCCTGCGTGGGGTGACCCCTCCAAACCCCCTTTGGGGCAAATGCTGGGGACGGGGACCCCCCCACCCAGGGACACCTGGCCCCAGCGAGACGGGGAGGGGAGAGCCTCTCGGCGGGATGGAGGCCTCCTCTAACTGCCTGTTGAATTATTCAGGAATGGCATTAACTTATAAATGAGTGTGTTTGACTGATTTTGTGGTTGATGTACAGATAAATTCTAATGAAAGACAGCTACAAGATTTTAAATTATTAATTAGACTGCCACTTAACAAAGCCTATTTGGCACTCTATTTCCTTGCTTAACAAGACAAAAACTTTAAGAATAGGTTTTGCATTAGCCCACAGGCTCTTCAATTTGCATTTTGTTTTTCTAGCTCTAGAAATGAAAGCTGTACGTCTTGACCTTAACAGGCTACCCCTGGTGGGATCCAACCCCACCGCCTGCCTCCACCTCGGGCTCCTGGTTTCCCAGCCTGGATGATGCTTCTCCTTCAGCTCGAGCAGCACCAGGGCTTGGAACCGGGGGCTTCTCCGAGGGCTTGGGGTTTATTGGAAAGACCCCCAGCCCGGGCGGGTTAATACACCGAACAAAGCCCAGGCAGGAGCTGGAGAGAGGAGCATCCGAGCGTGAGGCTCCGCAGCCACAAGGTGACATTCCCCCCAGGGGAAAAAAAAGCATCCCTGGGGTGGCTCTGCCCTGCCCGGGGGTCTGCACCCCAATGTGGGGGGGGTTGTGGGGGGGTTGTGAGCACAGCGCTGGCATCTTCTCCCGCTGCCGGAGAGGGGCACGGAGCGGTGATGGTGGTGGTGAGGGCTGGGCCTGGGGTTCCGTGGCCGCCCCCTCCCCGGGGTGTGGGACGGGAGCAGGGGGGTGTCCAGTTGGGGTCCCCCCGCAGGACACCGTTGTCCCCGGCATCTCTCCGTGACCAGCCCGGGCGCAGCGGGCCCGGGGGTCCTGCCCCCCCC